TTTTTAGATATCTGGAATGTAATTACGGATAGTCAGACGAAACCGAATTTATGTTAAAACGGCTTGCCATAATCGACCTGAAAGTATCCCGCATGCGCAGTAGAGGGCGCAATTACGTCACGCCTAGAGAGCGTGCTCAGTGTTTTGCCAACCGCCAGAAGTGCTTCGTGTTTGCGGAAGTAAACATGGAGGCTAACGGTGGAGCATAGCTTACGATTTTGAAGTTGTCTGAACGCACCAGCACATCAACAGCTTAATCCTCATTATAGTCCGTCATAGTTGTTGTTTTTCTTCCAGCTTGCGCGTGTCATGGCGCAGAATAGTAACGTTTTTCCGAGTATCAATGAGTTAGGGTCGGATGAACGCGACCTGGCTGTACAGACTCACGTCTTATTTGAAAAGATCAAATATGTATCTGATTTCAGATATACAGGTATCCAGGGTCGTATTAAAGAACAAATCCCGATTTGTGTTGTTTTAGACTGTCATAAAAAGATCAGATACAGGTCCCATCTATCTCACTCTGGTTACCTAGCAACCCCCGGCTAAATAGTTAGCTTAGCTGGCTTCGCCTCTGTTCCTCCTAACTACTTGTGAAAACTGTGGCTACAACAGGAAATGTCATGATAGCAGTTTGGTAGTACTTCTATTATTTGAAACAATACAGTTTAAATAGTAAAGTGGTTATATCATCTATTTTTAAATCACACACTGCAAACAGGAGTCAGTAGCATTATTATAGTATGAAGCTTACCTCTAAATGAAGGCATTTCTTCCTCCTCTCCCAAGAAGTCCTCATCTGAAGAGTGAATAAAATATGGATAACACAGGTTTAGGTTTTAATATTTTGATATTAATAATACAAAGAACTCTGGTTTACACAACCATGTGAGTTTGAGACACAGCAACAAAGCTGGGATTCACAAATACATCCATTAACAAAAACTTAAATCTACAAGAAACTATTGTCACCTCTTCATTGTTTTTATATTATGTTGTTGATCATTTTCTGTTTGTTGTCTTTCAAAAAATAAAGTCCATACTAATAAAGTTTTTGGACATTTTGGTAATTTTGTAAAAGAAGATATAAAAATTTCAGGAGCAATAATGCCTTAATATTGGTGAAAAAGTGCTAGTCGCATCGACAAACGGTTTCACTTATAATAAGACATTTTTCCCATGTTGTAAGTGGAATAATCTGCAAATGGAGCTAGAAAATTTTCACCGCTATTATGGAATTATTGACTAAAAACAAGCTCCTTTATCTTGCTAAAATGTTACTTGTAAAATAAGTTTTGTCTTATTTCAAGTGTACTAACCCATTTGAACTAGAAACTAGACCAAAACAGTTGGTAAGATTTGGGTTTTTGCAGGGTCGGCTTTTTTCCCTCTGTTTTTTTGAAAAATGAAACTGTTGAAAAAGTGAATGGGTGTCAATACTTTCTGGTGACACTATTAGCGCCCCCTTATGGCAGCGCTGTCATATTGAGCTAAAAAATCTGAACGTTCTTAAAGGGCCAGTTGTGCCACAATGTATTGATAAAACCAATTAAACTGTTAAAAATTTAAGATGTAGCTGTTTGTGTTTCTTAAAATTAAATAATGAACATCTTTTCACACTGAGCAGTCCCTCCAGGATTTTCTGATTGTTTTTTGTGTTTTGTTTTTCTCCAATCAAAATCCCGGATTTTGTGGTGCTAATTTAGAAATATTTGTAAGAAATTTTTACAATATTTGCAAGGTTTGATATGACTTTTTATTACTCGCCATATCAATCACGGACTATAACTTGACGTCAAGTAAGGCTGAGGCAGCAGACACTTAAGCCAATCAATCAGAAAAATCAGAAGAAATGCGAGTTTTTGTTGATTTTGTGTGAATTTTGCGTATTAGCGAAAAACTGGAGGGACTTATTGAAGTAACTTGGAGTTTTGAGGGCCTCATAAAAATCTACGACAGGCCAGATTTGGCCCCCGCGCCTTGAGTTTGACACATGGGCCTTATAACATCAACTGCCTTAAAAAAAAAGACACAGAAAAAGTATGATAGTTATTTTAAGCAATTAAGCTTCATATTTTCTGCAGAAAGTTAGTAATTTAAATTCATAGCCTCGATGACTATTACCTTTGAATAGCTGGTTCTCGTATCCACCGTTGTTGTCTGAAGAACAGAGACAAAGAGACACAGCAAAGTTAAAGCCTAAAGTTTTTCTACCTCGAACAGGTTTAATTAGTTTGACCCTAAGCATCTGCCTCCCTATCGCTCTCTCCTACAACACAGCATGTGGTTATTAAAGGCTTTCTGTGAGCAGAAATCAGGAAAACAGCTGTTGGTTGTGAGTGCTGATGCTTGTGGGATTTTTGTGTGTGTTCAGAGTCTGAGGAGGCTGTCATCACAACCATTGTAAAAACCAATAGCGCTAATAAACTGCGTAAAGTCAGTTTTTATTAGGGATCCCACAAAAGGGTTGACTTCATGTTTTTATAGCTGCAGACTTTATAAAACATGTCATCAGCTGGACGTTCTCCAACGCCACACCTGAGGCTGTAATGGTGGTTTGGAAACACACAGTTAAACAACAGGGGAGTGTGTGAATGAACAGAACAGCAAAACTCACAAATATGCAGTTTGACAAGCACCTGATGAGAGATATTTGGATACTACAGCCTGGCTAGACCTGATCTTTATGCAAACAACGTCACTATGGGCTACCAGACTGCTGGAAATGTGTTAGACATGTAATCAAAGTATTTTTTTATGGTTGAATCTGAGATGTTTGACTTTGGAGTCATGTTTCTGAGGTAAATTTGGCATTTTACTTGTTCAGAAACCACAGATACAGCTTTTAAAATAATTAAGAGACCACTTAAACTTACGAGCTTTTCTGATTTTACTTTTCATAGGTTTATGTTTGAGTAAAATGAACATTGTTCTTTTCCATTTGGAAACAACAATACTAACGTTTTAACTCAGGAATTTGATGGAAAAACCATAAAGTTTTCAACGAGGTTCAGTGCTCTGGGTTCTTCATTTTTCTAGAGCTGTGTATTTGTTACGGTTAATGCAATAAAGTTCCAATATCACTGTCAATAAATAAAGCATTCATAATTTATCAGAACATTAGAAGAAATTGTGTCAGAAAGTAAAATTTTTTCACATCCATTCCTTTTTTTTCACTTATTGCAAATTAACTTTATTACATGTTAAAGAGACTGGACAGAAAAAATGCAACAAAAAAAACCCTGAATATTAATAATACCATTAATACTACTGATACTGTCATTAACTGAAATAATAACAATAATAGTAATAACAACAATAGCAATAAAAAGTAGCAAACAAATTACATAAGTTATTAATACAATATTTTAAATAAGTATATTTCTCCGATTAGAGGTTAATAAAAAACAATTACACTAATTTTAGAGTCTAAAAAATATAAACTGTTAATTAATTCTTTAAATTTATTTCTAATTAAGCTGATGTCTATTAGAATTATTAAAATAAATAAAAACAGCAGCTTTGCTTGGCTATCTGGAGTTGAACCTTCCAGGAAAGGAGCCGTCATGAGGTTCTGCTCAGCCAATCAGAAGCAGATATTTGGAGAATTTACAGGCTAGGCGGCTAATGTAAATAAAGAGTGACTGAGAATATAAACAATCTGTTCCTGCTGGATTATAATATCTTCTGAATGGAGCTGTTTGCAGCATAATCATATTACTGGACAGATTTAGTCATAAATACACAAGAAGACTTCCCTAAAGGATAATAAAGCTTTAAAAAAATCAGAATAATTTCTTCTTTTTTTTATTTTAATAAAATGCCAAAAATTATTCATATCCTTCTGAACAATAAGTGGAAAAACCTTTACTGGCATTTCAGCAAACAAACCCAGCAGATTGTTGCTATTTTGATTATTTATCTTTAGTCATAATCTCTCAATTGCCCTAATCTTTAACTCAGATTAAAGTTGCGACTCTATCTGGGCCACACTAGAATTGTTAATTTTACTTCCAGCCTGAACAAATATGCAAGTAGATTTGAAAAGTGCAACATAAATGATGTTGGGTTTAACTGGAAATGCACAGCTAAATATGTGTTAATTACTACATAATTCATAGTAATTATGATGCTGTTTGTGGCGACACAACTGATTAAAGTTTTAAATATTTGGGGGGAAAGTCACCCAAAGCAAGATAATGGGAACTTAAAGAGCTTTTTATCCTCGTCTTCATTTGCAAACTCAAATGGAAACTGAGTTTGCAAATGAAACTCAGTTTCGTTTGCAACTAGGCAATTGGTTCTAGGCAAACCAATTGCCTAGAACCAAACCAGGTTTGCCTGGTTTGGTTTGGTTCTAGGCAATTGGTACTAGCAATTGGTACTAGCAATTGGTTCTAGGTACCAATTGCTTTCCAATTGGTACCTAGAAAATACAAAAATACAAAAGAAATATTTTTTTGTATTTGTTTGGTTCAGTTTTGCTACAAATATTCTGTTCTACTCTATGAGCAGAGGTTTAAATTTTGTAATAAAGAAACAAAAAAATGGGTGGCATGAGAATACCAGCAGAGGTCTTTAGGTACAAAACATAACTGAGTATTTTGCTTTAAAACAAACATTTTCACCAAATTCTTAAACTACTCCAAACTGTTTTATTTCAAGTAAACAAGTTCAAACAACATAATTTGACAGGTGGATAAACAAAATGGTCTCAGCTGGAGGAAAATTAGAGAACAGAACCACACAAAGACAACACGACATCACAAGATAAATCTAAAAATATATATAAATTGTTATTGTTCTGGAAACATTGCATAAAAGTCCAAGTTTACATGAGACAGAGGTGGAACATCTGAGGCCAAAAAATAGCCCAGCTTACATAACGAAACAGGGAGGAGGGAGGAAAAACACAGAAAAGAAGAGGAAAAAAACACAGTTATTCATAAATATGCAGTAAGTAAAGTGTATGGTAAGAATATATTAGTTTGCACTGAATAATACTAAAGCTTTAGAAGTTTTAAACAAGCATATTGAGATTTTGGGGGGTTAAATTTGTTTTTTTTGGTTCATTTTTCTATTTGAAAATAAATTCAAAGTCATTATCTGGGCTTATTCTTCCACTAGTTTCATGTTTACAGCCAAACTTCTCACCTTCTTTCTGCCACCCTTATGGGTTTTGACTGCGCCATGTTGGAAAAAACTAATGTCCGTCTCGTTAGTGAGGAAGTGGACCGGTCCAAAACACACAGAGCAGAACTAAGCTAATCTGACTGCAGCACAGCTTGACCAGGTCACACCTTCCCAGTCAGGAAAAAAGAACTGTGAAATACTTAGAAATAAATTTGGTTCAGTGGAAAAGTTGTTTAAACTTTGCTTGGCTTCATTAGCTGACAAAATAAAAGGGCAGACGTTAGGTATGCGGAAAGATTTCTGACCACAAACATCAAAAATAAAACAAAGTATTTGCATAAAATTTATTCTATAAATCTTAAAGCTTATAAAAATCAAAAGTATCTACATTTATTGGAAATTATTGGGAGATTTTCCTATGAATTACAGTAAGACAAGTCAATCTGAGGCCCATTTTTTATTTTTCAACTTCCTGCCTGTATGTCCCCATATGTGAACATTTGCTGTATTTGACTTTTACTCAAAAGCAAGCTTTGCTAAACCCAAATCTGCTTTTCATTAATTTAACAAACCTGACTAAATACAGCAAGCATTTTCAAAGAAAGACTGAATTAAATCCTGATTTTATTCACCAGAACTAATTAAATTGTGACCTATTGCTTTCCAATTGGTACCTAGAAAATTAGCAAGTTTTGAATCTGGAATAATTCCTACATTCTTTTTCAGCAACAAATCTGATTCCTTAATTTAAGTATTGCAAGTTTAGATTATTATTGAGTGGATAAAACATTTTCTTAGGCCCTCTTGTCCTTTAGACTCAATGGCTTTGGCCCACATGACAAAAACTTTGGACGCCCCTGAGGTAAGAGAAGACTGAAGAGTTTCGTACAGTTGTTTTTATCCCCACGTTTGGATTTAAAGTACAAGACAAGAGTCTTTGCAGAACAAGGCAAAATTTTATGGCAATAAAATATGAATATGTAACTGTTCATGTTTCTGCCTGTGGCCTCGGGCCCAGATGTTGTAGATCAAGCAGTTCCAGCAGCTATGAAAATATTGAGCCAAGCAGCAGGTTACAAGAGCAGAAAAAGGCCGACATGTAACAGGCTGTGAAAGCGTGCTTCTATAAACATCTCCTGTTTCTGTCCTTCATGCCTGACAGATATCTGCAGGTGAACAGATGATTCTGAAAAAAGAAAATGCTAAACATTACAGTTTTTAACTAAGGGTGTTGCTTTAAGCTGACATGTAAGAAACATGTCTGACCTCACCATGTCAGTCATAAAAAGATTCTAGGAAATCTGTACAAAGCGGCTGATTTTTCTGTCTATGTGATTATGTTAACAAAAGCACACAGTCTCATAATAAAGTTGTGAATTTCTTTAGATATATATATTCGATCATGTGGAAATCGTTGTTTATGCAGGTAAAAAGAAAAAATAAATTGCTCTTGGGGGCCCCCTTGTGGTCGAGGTAAGTCACGCTTCACTGGTCATACGAGCTGCGCGCGCATCCAAACCTCCAAAGGTCCAGTGGAAGATAAATTAGCAAAACAATGTTGCAAAAAGGGACTTATCCTTCAAGGACAGAGAAACGAAAGAGGAATAAAAAAGGAGATAAATGTATGATGTTATTACTTGCTTCGTTTCCATTAACAATAAAACTGCTCAAATTGAAATTACGAAAATAAATGTGTTTAATGGAAACATGTCAATTTTGAAAAATCTCATGTTTTTTTGATAGGATGAGATCTAAATTGACATATTTGACAAAACTGCAGGGGAAATACTTTTTCAACTCACACGAGTCGCGTGATCAACTGGCAGACGTCGCTACTGACGAAAACCCACGAAGAAGACGACAGGAAGTGGTAGGAGAATGCCTGTGTGTTGCTTTTTTGTCGGACAATGTGCATCTCGTAGCATCACACAGAAGTCGTGTGTCATTCATAGCGCTTCTGTAGAATTGCTGATTACAATTTCCTGAATAAGACGCCGACGTCTCGTCTGCGTGACATTATCTCACGTAAATGTTTACATTCGTCACTATCATGATTTGTACTGATTTACTGCGTAAACAAGCTTATTCACGAGTGATTTTCATTTAATTTCTTACTTAATGGAAACACTGTAATTGTTGAAGTGTTTTTTCGACATTGGGAGAATAGTGACGAAGATTTGCGCACACAAAGTAAACAATTCATCAATATGTATGAAAAATACTCATAACATTGGAAAAAATGTCTTGTTATAAGTAAAATAATCCGCCAATGCAACCAGTACTTCTTCATGATTTATTGACTTAAATCAAGCTCCTATATCCTGTTGAAATGTTATGTTTAAGTTAGTTTTGTCTTATTTTAAGCGCACTAAGATATTTGCACAAAAATACTTGGTGACAGTTTTTGTTTGTGCAGTCTATGCATTCATTTCCCTTCACTTCAAAATGATGTGCCAGTTTGTGTTGATCTACCAGCAAAATCCCATTAAAGAATATTGAAGTTTGTATTCATAACATGTCAAAATGTTTAAAAGTTTTTGCAAGGCACTATGTTCTGGCAAAACAATTCTTCCTGCAAAGAAGGACATCCACAAAGTCAGAAGACGGGATCCTCTCCAGACCTGACTGGAGGTCTGAACCACAGCTCATAAAAATTACAATGCTCCCTCTTCAAACATTTTCTGACATCTCAGCCGTTTGGGTGCCCTCTGACTGGAATGTGTGGTCTCTTCACAGAGCTCTCTGGTATGCACTGCTGCAGTCTGCAAAACTATAGACAAGAAAGAGACTTCTCGTTTTTTCCTCCACAGTGAATCAGGATGGTTTCCATCCTGTGCTTGCTTTCTCAGGACTTAACTGGTCTGGACTGCCAGAAGGAGACAGAAAGACAAGCCTGGTCAGATTTTACAAGGCTAAAGGGTGTGTATGACACAATTACTGGCCTTCATTTTCACGCAATGATCATTAAGAGCTGTGGAATGCAAGAACTGTAATTATAAAACCAGGATTTTTGGTCTCCAACTCCATCAAGGAGAAAATTTGGGGTTTGTCCTGGTAATAAAATTAAGGTCAAGTTTCTGGCAATAACTGAATAAAGTCAGAGGAATGTTTTTTGAGGCCACAAACCTCTGATATCGTAAATAAAAAATTCCTAAACTGATTGGCTGTCAGAAAACGTCTCAAAGAACACAAATTACCACGAGTTTATCAATCCGAATCACCTTTCTGCGAGTCTTTCCTTCGCAGCCACCTGCCTCTGTGTCTTCAACAACCCAGAGAGGAATCTGTGAAGCAGCAAGTTTTATTCTGCTTGGAAGAGGCTGGAAACCACATTACGAGTCCTCCAGCTCCATTTGGCTGGGAAGAGCGCCTTAGATGTGCTTTAATGGAGTTAATTTATGACATTCTTTTGGTTTCAGTTTGACTCTCACCAAGCTCGCCCCAGCTTATGGTCTTGCTTAATGTACAATAAATCCTTTTTATCTTTATTTGTGGCTTTTTCTAAGTCACAGTTATGCAGAAAACTAAGTACTGCATGAGTGAAATGCTGTAAAGGTCATTTATTACGCTTCCTTGAAGAGGTTAGTGTACATTCATTACATTTTATGCACATTATTCACACCTGAAAAACAGAAGTGGAGCCTCCTTCACAACGAACAAGAATGCAGCAAGTGGTTTCTGGATGATAAGCCAACAACAAAACAGTTGTCTTTTCCAGCAGCCATTGTAAAGCTTCAATTAGGTGCTACGTGACGGCAGAGTCCTCTGCGGTTGCTAGGTAACGGGCTAGACTTTGCTGCCACCCACTTAGTTTTGGAAGGTTTTTGAAATGGCTCATTTTCCAGACACCACAAAACATAAAGCTATTGCCAAAACATGGCTGGATGTTTCATTTTTTAAAATCACTTCGTTTGTTTTTAGAAGCGGTAGAAACCCAAACAGGAGTATAAAAATGTTCAAAATATGAAATTTGCATAATATGTTCCTTTTAAGAACCACCATTAGCATTAATCTTTTGAAAAAGCTGTTGTTAGTGCGGCTTTATTCGACTCATATTTACCCACTCATCAACACTAACCCTGCTGATGGAGTCTTGAACTTCTCTTTTAAGCTCATTCCACAGCATTTCAATCAAGTTGAGGTCTGGACTTCGACTGAGTCTTTTCAAGACTTCAATTTTTGCCTTTTTACTTGGAATTTGTTTCCTGTTGACACTTTCATATACATTAATCAACTCAATACCCCGTTTGAAATCATTGTTCTGCAATAAATATGCAGCCACAGACATCCCATTATGAACCACTTTGTCTTTCACATGCAAATTAATTCAGCAAGATCGCGGATCTGTTTGTGATTTCAGAGAATGCAAACCAAATGGGAAAAACTAGACAACATTTACCAGAACAACGTGCAGGAATTGTTTGCCAGGCATTTTGGGCTCTGTCTTAAGATTCTTGTGCAGATTGATTAAAAGCTTTCTCAAGTAAAGTTGTTGTGAATCATTCTCCGCATGTTATCATTTTTTCAAGCAAACCACTGTGGATAGCAGCGAAAGAATCTGCATAGTTGAGTTCAGATAGTTAGTCTCATTTGTCCGAAGTATTTTGTTTTTGTGGTTGATTCAGATTAAATTTTTTCTTGATAACTTCTGCAAACATCACTTACTTGTTCAGTCTTTTTTTAACTGTCCTGTCATGAACACTAATAATTAACATGCTACAGGTTAAAAAGTTTAGCTTTCCAGGAGGATACCACCTCCTACTGGTGCCTTCCACTGGTGACTGATCTTCTGACGGGGCTTCAAATTGTTTGAAAATGTTCTTATAACTCCTTCCAAATTGACAGGTAGAAATATTTGCTGCTCTGGGGTCACTGTTGATGTGTTTTTAGCTTCGTAAGGTGTTAATTTGTAACCCAACCAGCAAACTGCCAAAGCTCCTCCAATGGTGTACTTAATTATTATCATTAACAATGAGCCAGGAGATAGATTTGATGCATTTTTGCATGTTTTAACATTTATTAAGTCAAGAACAAAACAACTTGTATTTTCCAGCAGCCATTGTACAGCTCAATTGGGTTAGCTGTACAATGTTAGATGGCGGAACTCCACTGGAGTTGCTAGGGAATGAGACAGACTTTGCTGGGGTTGATAGGTGAGTGGCAGTCACTGCTGATTTGTGACGTTACATTTGAATTTTTTTTCTTTTAAATGGCTCATTTTCTAGACACCAAAAAACATTAACTTATTGCCAAAGAATTGTTGTGTGATTTTCTTTTAAAGCACTTGGGTTGCTTTTAGGAGCGGTTGAGACCCAAATGGAAGTACAAACACATGCGAAATGCGAATTTTCCACAATACATCCCCTTTAAGAAGCCTTTGATCATGGCCTAAACAGGTAAAAAAAATTAAAGATAAATTACTAATTTCTTGCCTTATTTAGCATTTTTGTTCTTGTACTGTAAGACCGCGTGTCTTATAGAACGTCAGCACATTTCAAAGCCACTGCAGGCTCTTCTTTCATGCCCTGTTGTGATAAAACACACCTAAATTCACTCGCCCACGTTTTGGGAGGAACATTAACTCAGTTTGTGGGAATCTAGCAGAGGAAAAGCAGATTTTGTGCTCTGCAGAAACTGCCGTGTTTTGCACTCACACACAGTTTTAAAGCTGACGGATATAAGAGTCATGTCCAACTACAACAACTGCACACTTTCTCAGGATACAAGCTGCCAAGTTTCGGTGCTGATGAGAAGCACATGTTGGCTGGTGCCCAGTGCAGGTGCTGACCTGCATCCCACAGTGACAAACATGGCTTCTCTTAACACGATTAACAAAGAAATCCCACCAAAGTTTAATAAAAAAAAGAGGAAAAAGAGCAGCTTTACCTTTCATGGTTTCTGTCCTTGGATGCCTGCCAGGTGATGCTGTTCCAGTTTGCCTGAGGACAAGGATGAGGATGATGAAAATGTCGTCCTTTTTTACCTTTTATCCAACAAATTTGTGCTCATTTGTATTCCCAAACATGCAACTTAAACGTCCCAAAGTGCATTTATGCAAAAAAAAAAAAAAACATGAAAAGAGGCGTTCATCTGCATCCAAACTGGATAAAAGTATTCCTAATTAAAAAAATATTAATGCATACAAGTTAAATCGTTTTCATTTTTTAAAAGAAAATGGATAAAGGCTGCTCTAACTTCTGAGCATGTGTTCAGAGTCTGAAAACACAAACCCCCTGAGCAACTACTGAAGAGGAGGGAAGAACGAAAAAAGAAGAGTAGTTTAATAGAAACAAGGAGTGAACAGAGAGAGAGAGAAATGTGGGAGGGGAACAAAGGAAGTAGAGAAGAAGGGAGGGAGCAGAAAGGGGACAGGGTGAAAGAATGGGAGTGGGAGGAGAACAGGGAGGGTCCATGTGTTTTGTTGAAAGTCAGGTTTGTGGCCGAGGCTAATTGCTAACAAATGTTGCAGGGTGAGCACCTTGAAAACCCGCGGCCTTGGCCTCTGTGATGGAAAAAAAGGGCTTCTGTGAACACGCGTGTGCACACACACACGCACACACAGGGTGACACATGTCTAAGCGATTATCCCTGCATGGTACCACTCTTCTCAGGTTGCCTCCGCTCCCGCTTGGAATACTGGCAGGTGTTATTCCCGCACCGACGTACGCTCACATCCGGCCGGGCGGCTGACGAAGCAGCTTCACCGGCCGTCTGGCCACTTCTCACTCCACTCATTTCTTCTTTTGCTGTAATACGTCAGTGAAACAGTTTGGAAATGTTTGCTTCCAGTTTGTTGAACACGAAATCAGAGGTGGGTGGAGAACCCAAAAAGAGTAGCACTACTCCAACGCATTTTTGAAAAGTAGACATCCAGAAGTAAAAAAAGTATTTGGTAAAATTACTAACTGAAGAAATGCTCAATCATTTAATATTTAAAAATTATGTCATCAGACGGACCAAATTATAAAGGCAAGTGGAAATTTTGGTATTTTAAGGACCAAAATGACAAAAAAATAAATACAATAAAATCAGGCAAAAGAAAATGTTTCTAAATCAGTTTGTTTTCTTCAAGTTTGGTAAAAACAAAATAAAGAAATCCCACTTTTCTCCAGCACAATTTAAAATCTGATTAAGATCTTTTCTTGAACTTTAAAATACATTGTACTCTTAAAGTTTTCCATTTCAAAAGTTTTTATTCATTGAATGGTCACAAAAAACTGAATTAAATTGGAGTGTTTCTTTAGTAACAACCTTTGTGTTGTGATCAGACATCACTAAAATACAATCGTGAAAGTTTCAAAAGTCCAAAATTATCAACCTTTTTCAAACTTTCCGAGTTCAGGGCAAATGTGGCATCATTGAAATTGTTTGCATAAATTTATTCATTTTTTGTCATTTAGATGTTTAACACATTTTCATTAATAAAATGCGGAGCTGCATTGTTCATGCTCTAATAATTAACATCCAATTTATTAGCTTCTTTATAAACTACAACATAAACATCCTGAAAGACAAAAAATCCCTTTAGACAAATCTAAAGGAACAGTTCAACACAATTCAAACAAACTTTTTACTGCAGCAGAAATTCACCAGGGTCCTCAGCTAAATACAATAATGTAAGGACTTTGTGTAGTCAGAGTAATTAAACTCTCTGGCCTCTTTTGCTTTGTTAAATAAGTACAACCATTTTGAGTTGAGTTTCTAAAAACTGGGAATCCATGAGGGAATTTAATGACCAACATTTCTCTGCCTGGCTTTAATTATAAAGCCTCTAGCTTTTGATTACAACTTGAAGTTTCTGGAGCTGCTTTGTTTGCACACATTCCAGCAGACTAATAGATCTGCATTCCCGAAGTGACACAGATTTCATTCAAATTGATCCCAGAATCCCTTGTAAATGTTGGAATCTGAGCCTCAGTGGTGCTTGGACTGCAAAGCTTTGATGCCATTTTGTTAGAAGCAAACAAACCAAGTTTTTTCAAAAGCTTTTCCACATCTAACAACATTTTTAGGTGAAACAACACAAACTTTCATCACTGAATAGATAATTAGCTTTATTGCAGTTAGCTGTTGCTGAACAACAAATCATTTTACATTTATTTACATATCTATTGGCGTGAATGACGAGTTTGCAAATATTATGACGTAGCCTCAACATACAATGACGACCTTAAACCCAAACATCCATAAATTCATATATTAGACTTCTGAACATACATTTTTCTTGAGATTAGAAAAAAATAATCTGCATATGTCCTTCATGTGCGACTTGTATGTAACTGAGTGTGCTCAGGTAAGAAAAGAAAATTACGAAAAAATAGATAATGATGCTGTAAATCAGAATGAAGAACAAATACCACAAAACAGAATAAAACAAATCATATCGTATAGCTACATTACAACCTCCCAGTAAAAGTTTTCATTATTGTTTAGTAAAAACTCTGTGACCGTTTTCATTAAACAATATTACAGATGTTAAGTTTGTCCAAATTTGCTTATTTATTCTTTAAATTTCTTTTGTTTAGTTAAGACGTTGTTTCTCCAGTTAGACGTTTATTGGTGTTTTACGTTTTTCGCTGCTGACGGTTGGTGGTTACCATAGCAACCAGTAACCGACAGCTCCGCCCCCTTTTTACAGTTGCTGTTTGTAACTGTGCTGTAGCTCTGTGTTTTCTTTACAAATATTATACTTTAACATATATTTTAGACAAATTTAATGATATACATCGTTACATGAGTAATTTTGATGTGTTTTGTATACGTTTTTAACTGTTATTATTAATGTTCTCCATTTTAGCTATGTTTAATTTTACACGTTAACTGTGTAAAATATTATGGAATTATTTACTTAAAACAATCTTCTGTTTCTTGTTTAAAAGTACAAACTGTACTAAGATATTTGCATTAGAAACTAAACCAAAAGCACTTGGTAAGATTTTGGGTTTTTGCAGTGTGTTTCAGCTGGTTGTTACATTGTGTAAAAAAAAAAAAAAAAAGTCCTTTCAGGCATAAAACTGAACATTAAAACCACTGTCATGGAGTTTTAATTTGTTTGTTTTTAATTCAAGTATGCTTTATTTTCTGTATTTTTAAACACCCTTTATCACCTTGTAAACTGGGAGAAAGTGTAATAAAGCCTAAAAATCTTGGATTTTTGACAGAGAAAGACTGAAATAGAATTAGTCTGCAGGAGGTGCTAGAAGAGAGAACAAGAATCTGTATTCTGCAGAAATCATTTCATTATTTTACAACTAAATTGAGTTTCTCAACATTAAAAAGTGTGCAAACATAGACTCAGAAAGTGCTATAAAAAAGCTATATTTATGTAAAAACATGAGCAAAACTTGTCAAAAATATCACTGAATTGTGGTGAAAGTCACATGGATCTTAAGTCCTAAACACATCTTGACCTGAAGCAAATATGAAGTGGAGCTCAGTGTTGTCACAAACAACCACAAGCTAAACGGGTGAGTCATTAACACCGGACTAAAAACAGAAAGCAAGTGGACTGTTGTGATCACAACACAAACATTTCCACACACTCAAAATCTAGCCAAAAAAAGAAAAAAAGAAACACAGAGACGCCAACTCTGAGATCCAGCTTTAACTGCGGCACCATTTATTTCAACAAAAACTCAACATCAGATTGATTATAACCCGATATTTTATTTTTATGAATATAGCTAATAAACATAAATAAAAAAAACACATTATTTATCTTTGACACTCCAAGTTAAACAAAACATTTAATAATTTGGTATGCTTTCAGTATATATATATTATATATATATATATATATATATAATATATATATA